TTCTTTGGCAACACAGAAAGGAGAATTCTACTGCCTGAGGGTTATAATCCTTAAGTGCGGCCGAAGGCCGCTTACGTATAAAGGAATTCTACGCAAAAATACATTTGTTAAAAAGAACATTTTTTTTTTATAAAAACTGTTTTTTTTTCTATTTTTAATTAACTTTTTATTCTTTATTCAAAATCCCCCCATATCTAATTTGGCACAATTTCTTTTATTAAAAAATCCCACGGTTTCTGTTAGTTGGGTCATATTCCACTTCAAACTGCTCAGTTTGCCTAAGAAAATTCAGTTTTTCCCCCTTTTTCAAACGGTTCCCTAGGTGCCTGTGGGAGGAGTCCAAGGGGGGGGGGGGTACCCCTTTTTAGAAAGCGGCGACTGTCTCCTTTCTATTGGGGGGGGATTTGGGGAGACCCGCCCCTCCCCCTCCGCCCCCCACCACAAAAACGGTGTGAGCGCTACTAAACATTTCCCGAAAATTGGCAAGGACTGTTATGATTTCCTCAAGAGCCAGGTTGTCCAAGAAGATTTTAATTGTATGCGAAGCTTTTAGTGAGCGGTGACCCGACGAGCCGGTTCCAGTGATGATTCAATCCCACGTCGAACAAGCATGCAGGGTGACTCAAAATTAATTTCTAATACAAGATAGTAAACTACAAACTAAAATAGCCTTTGAGACTAAACCAAGCAAAAAATTCAAACTGCACAAATTCAAAAGTGATTGATCACCAATTTAACCTATCGTACTACGTACATTATAATACAATAAATACAATATTCTCTATCAGCCTTTTTTTTTGATTGCCTTTTATACAAGAATAAAAGGTTTGTACCCTATCAGGTATTCATGTAAGTACAGGTTATAAGATGAATTTTCATATACATGAGGAAATTAAAAAATTATTGAGTACAAAATTACCAAAAACTACAGAAGTAATTCATTCTTTAAGCCAAGTAATAAAGTGAATCGACTATCTTATAATTAATAAAATGTGGTTGTACCAGCAAAATCAAAGGAACTTGATTGCAGAAAAAACACGAAATTAGGCATCTTTACAATTAACACAAAAGAAACGTAATACATGTACATATGGAAAATTTAACTACAATGAGGTAGATACATCCAGACTCCAAACCAGTCATACATATCTCTTTATGACACTCCTCCATCATCTTCTTCTTTCTCTTCTTTTTATTTTATTACTAATATTATTATTTTTATTATTATTATTATTTCTTAAATGCACAATCGTACAAGCTCAATTCCATATCTGATTGAATAGAAAAAAATTTAATCATATGACTACATTCTAAAGCATTCGAGACAAACATGCATACATATTTGTTTCATCCTTTTTTTTCCTTGCTTTCATTAAAATTTCTCTTTTTTTAATAATAATTGACTGGTTGTAATTGTTTTTCTTCATTTTCCCTACAACGACTACACAGTAAAAAATTTAGTTTAATTTTAATACCATTTTGGTGTTTATATATAACAATGACAGAAAGTATTAGATTAAAACCATACTGGTTTAAGCAAAGAGGGAGAGAAAAGATTGAGAGAGTATGTATTAATAATATATTTGGAATTAATTCAAATAAGCTTTTCTTCTTAGAAACAAACCATGGGGCTAAATTCTATAGTTTTTAGGGATTGAAAATAAAACTGAAAAGGTTTTGGATCTATCTCGAAATTGGAATAGATTTAATACTTTTCTTGAATTTAATCAAAACCAAAATTGGATTAGATTTAGTATATCGTTCGTATTAAAAATAACTTAAATGGTTTTGGATCTATATGATAATTGGAATAGATTTTATAGTTTATGGAATTAAATCTAAACCGATATTAGATTAGATTTAGGATATTGTTCGTATTAAAAGTAACAGAGATGGTTTTGGATCTATCTGATAATTGGAATGGATTTAATACTTTTATGGAATATAATCAAAAACAAAATTGGATTAGATTTACTATATTGTTGGTATTAAAAGCAAACCCAATGCGTACAGTGCTCAACAAATTTACAACCCCGTTAATAAAACATACCACATTTCATGTACAATTAAGGAGAAATTTGATATTTTTTAAAATAAGGATTGCTTGTTTGAACATTATGGAAAGCTATGTGCTGAAAATAAAAATCAAAATAAAATTTTGTTAAGAAATACATTTTATTTGAAATAACTTAAAATTATATTAGAGGAACAATAGCTTAATTTAATAATAGATTTTATTCAATTAGTTCACAGGACATAAAAGTTTGTCTTTCTACATTGTTTTCCTCTTCTAAATTTTGTTGAATATTGTTTAAGTCATCGGTCAATTCACCCCGAAAAGTAATACAGTTTTCCTTAAATAAATTCTCTCATATCTCAGGATGTTTTTCTATTAAGTACCTTTCAAATTTATCAAAGCTGTTATTTATTAGAACTTCAAACGATGTAAATATTTCACCAATTTTTGTTTCTGAAATTCCACATAATATCAACTTTTTTGAAAGTGATGAAGCAATCGAGAAAGCTTCAAAATTCTCTACTGAAGAAAAATAGCAAGATGGTCTATCATTGTCAATGGCAGGACTTTGAGTATTTACATTTTCTGGTTTTGATATTTGTTCAATTTTCTTTTTTGGAATTTCGCTGCTTATATTAATAGGATTACAAAGTTTGGAATGCCTACTTAACGAACTAAATGTATTAAATACTCTTTTACATGTTTTAGAGGAAACACACCTTAACTTTAAACCGTGAGCCTCCGCTAAAAAATGTTAATTTTTTAAATGAAATACAACATTTGTTACGGTTTCAAATTCTCTGGAACATAAAAAGCAAAATTTTGCCATTTTTTTTATATGAAACTTACTTCATTAATTCCTTAAACTTATTCTCGAATTTCGATTGCACTTCTAATAACCTAGTACTTGGCTTCTTATTATCGTTGATTTTGTAAATAAATTTGTCAAAAAACCCCAAGAAGTTCGCCAAAGTTACATCAAATTGTATATTAAATACATAAAATGCTTTAAAATACAGGTCGAATACTTGGCTGAATTTATAATTGATGGGAACATTTACCTTCTTGCCATTAATGGTTATAAAATACTGACAAATTGTGGCTCTGTCTTGTCCAACTGCAACGATGGTGGGCTGACTAGTCTCAGCTGCATATTCTGCGATAGGGGTGTTGAGCTACAAAGAAAAAATTGTGTTATTTGTGTTGATTAAGAATAAACATTTTATAGTAAATTACGTTTTCAAAGGAAAGAAAACTATCGACAGATTTTTGAAAGTTTACTTTCTTTTGGGCGCGTCCACTGGCAGTAGATGGCAGCAGCTTTAAAAGCATCAAATAAGGTAGCACTTCAGTGGCCCAATCAGTACAGTTTCCCAGACTAGGTCCGCCAGCGGCATCAATTAAAATTTTCTCCACACAGCTTTCATATTTTTCCCAGTTTTCTAAAAGACTGTTCGAAATCGCCTCTCCATTCCGAAGATTAAAATCAAAATCAATCTACAAAAAAATTATTGTTTCTTTTTTTATACATATATACGTAGTATTATTGTGTATACACTACCAATGACGAATCATATAAAAATATTGGGAAATGTTCCAAAACATTAGATTCAGTTGCGATAAACTTTTGTCTTGCTTTTAACGTTTCCTGCAATTTCTGTTGAACCAGTTGCAGTTCGTCTGCAACAATGCAGTTTTGAAAAAAGTGAAGATCTTCTACAGAAATTACCGCTTCATCATCGCTTTCCTTGTCGACCTCAGATAGTTTACGTTTTTTTTTTCCACCGCTGTCGAGTTTCGTAAGCTTGGTGTTTATGGTTTTTAACTTTGCAGCTAAATAGCCGGAATTGTTCTCTGGATTGTAGAACAAATCCTGAAATTATTTTTGAGTTTCGTTAAGATCGTATGGTATGTAAATGTATTAAGAGTTCAAAATGCATACTTACAATTCCCCCAAATTTGCTATTAGCAATCTTAAAAGCTGGAAAAATACATATTATTGATTCAGCTAGTGCAATTTTTTCCCCACGCTTCGGGTGATTTCCACAATGTTGGCGTAAAAAGTTAGTAGACTCGCGCACTAACGAGCGGCGGGAACTATCACTTAAAGTGTTGCTTTTTTTTGTATTCCTCAAGAATGCAAGAGAAATCTCCGCTTTTTATGTAGTTTTCCAGCGCCTGTTCAAATTTATTCATTACAACAAGTCTTCCACTTTCAGTGTGCAACACTAACCTCGTGATTTAAGCTTAACACCACTGATGATTGGGATGATTGTTCTTTTGTCGAATTTTCATTTATTTCCAACAAAAAACAGCTACAGCCTTTATATTGATAAAGAATTTCCTGGAAATAATCCACGAAAATTTCAGCTCCGTCGCGGTCTCGCAACGTTATTGCACAGTCGGGATTGATCTTTAATTGTTCCACAACTGAAAAGAAATACAATTATCTTTCATAAAACTTGAGTAATTTTTTAGATTACTTACTTGATATAATTGTTTCATTCGTCGAGAATTCCTCATTTTCAGGATTTCATATTTTTATTAAATGCACTACCTCGTGGTATTTAACTTTCAGAAACATTATGACGCTTCTCCAAAAGTGGAACACGTGATACTGATTGAGAGTGAGAAAACTTCTTAGTATTTTTCTGGTTTTGTTTTAAAACCAAAAATACTAAAGTTGGGAGTACATTAAATATCATTCAGAGTGAGAGAACCTTCTTAATACTTTTTTTGGTTTTGTTTTTAACCAAAAATACTTAAAACATTAGAGAGAGCATTCTAATGCCTTTTATGCCTTAAATTAAAACTAAAAAGAATCAATATTTTGAAAACAAAGCGTTCAACACTGATTAAGGTTTTGTTTTTAAACCATTTTGGATTTAATGAAATTGCAAGAATATTTCATAGTTTAAAAATAAAACTTTTTGGTATTAAAAATCAAATTTAATTCAAAAAATCTTTAAATTAAATACTCACTGGAATTAAAAGTAAACTATGATTTTTTACTGTGTATTACTTAACCATGATAAAAACATAACAAGGTAAAACCATTGAGAGGCAGTCTGACGTTTGCCAACAATATCCCAGCCAGCAAAATCATCGTAAACAAACTCGTAATTGGATATTTTCTCGAAGAAAAACCAGATTAAAAATCGTTTATGATAGCCGTTTACGACTGTTTTTCGAGCACTTTTTCGCTTTAAATTGTTCATCGCCTACGAACAGTCGTAAACGGATCGAAAAAGCATTCGTATGCGAATATTTTTACGTCCGTTTTTTAATTGTTAACGAGTCTCGTAAACGATTAATTTACGTTAAAAAGGCGTTTTTTTACACTGCTTTATCTACTGTTTTTAATTAATTTAAATTATTGTAGTTCTTTTATGGAATGGAATTATAATTAATAAATATTTATAGTGCCGGATCAAAGTATTGGCACAGAGAATTTTTCGCAATGTATGCAAAGTTTTTTACTTGAATTTCTTTTCGCACATGTATGTATGTTCTTCAATGCAAATTATGTGCGACATTTTTTTTTTGTATGGAAGAAACTGCGTATAAAAAATTGCCAAAAAACAAAGAGGTTTTCTAGCTATTCAAGCGAGCACTTTATTATACTAAAATTAAATGGGCTATAAAACTGCATACTTAGAATTTTTCTAAAAACTCTGATTTGAAAGTAGAACTTCATACTAACTATATTTTTATAAAAAACAATTAGAGAAGAAATCAGAATAAAAACTTTGCATTCATGGCGAAAAATTCTCTGTGCCAATATTTTTTCCCAGCACTGTATATGTGAAGATATTTCCAGATAAATAAATATTAACAAACTATCTATTAACAAATTAACAATTAAATAAGAGGGGTTTAATATATATTATAAGGTAGCTGAATTTATTTTTTATCTTTTTGCCGATAGGCTGCCAATTTTTTTGCCGGTCGTGTGCATATTGGAAGTGCTTCTTTGAAACAGAAATAAAAACTTCTTCGTCGGAGTTAAATTTTTGACGAAAAGCACCTAAGAAAATAAAGTGAAAGATTAAACTCCATTGGAAATCGGAAAATTTAATTAAGTAAAAAGTGGTAATAAATAATATTATTATCCGTACTTCTTATTGCCGCAGTCGTTGCCAAACCAACAGCGCTATAGGGGAATTAAACGTTAAAATCCTTTAGTGTTGCTCCGCGCAGCCTGTGAAAGAATTGCTCGAAGAAACTCGTTAAATTAATTTGTATTTTTGAATTACATATGTAGTAGCTACTTACAAGAAGTTTAATTATAAAAGAAAGTGGTAGGTCGTCCTTTGCGTTTGCACCAGTCTGCCAATAAATCACATACTTAACAATTTTCTTAAATTGAATATTTAACAAACTACTTACTTATGAAATATTGTGATTGAAGAAAAATTGTCAACAAAACTAAAATTTTTTCTTGTGCTGACAAATTACCACAAGCCTCTTTCTATTATATTTTTTTGTTTTATCGTTTACGAGCTTTTCTCTAACTTTTTGGCGATACGAGAATCCCTCGTAAAACATAATGTTCGTAAAATCTACGTTTTCTTGCTGGCTGGGATAATTTTAAAATCAAAACTCAAACTCACACACACATTCTCATTTTCAATCTCAAACAACAACAATTGTGAACAATTTAATTTTTTTATTTTCATTTTTATATGATTTTAAAATGTTGGCAAACGTCAGAAAAAATCATGGCCGACGAAATGAGAGAATGAATTTACCTTGTAATGTTTTTATCATGTTACTTAACAATAAACAAAACTATGTCTGTTTTATACATACATACACTTTTAATTTTTTTTTTTTTCCTATATCTATATCTTTTTATACTCAAAGAAGCGTGTCGAGCTTCACCGTCTCCAAAAAACAAAGCAACTCCCTGAGATGGCGATAATCAAAACTGGCGAAAATTTCTTTTAAGCAGTTGTATTTACTAAAAATAGTGAAATTGTTTCTGGCGGCGGAAAACTTTTGGCAAACAAAAATGAGATGGTCATTTGTCTCTCTAACCCCACAGCATAAACAAGCATCAGTGATGTTAGCTTTAAACTTACTTAAAAAAATCTTTCCATATGTGTGTCCACACATGAGTCTATTTATTAGTTTTATTTCCTGAACGGAAAAATTGCATTTTTTTATCGCAGAACCAAGGGGAGTCAGTTACCCTACCTCCATTTTCAGCAAAAACTTTACCTTTGGATTGACAAATATCCGAAAACTCACTCTCCCACTCACGCCAAATGGCTTGCCGAATTCT